AAAATGGAATATTTATCTCGCATCTACAAAAAGTTTCATATAAATCTTTATTTTGTTCATCTTTCCTAGATTTTGCTAAAGCTTGAGGGAAATGGAGTACTGGTTTATAATCGGAAAGAGGAGGAAACTTATGCTTACTTAGATATCGTTGGGAGTGTTTTTCTCTGATGTGATATATTCCTCATTTTCTTTCTTCGATAATGTAGGGGCTACTTTTACTGGAGCTTCAACCTCCATGCCACTCCTCAACATGATTGCACTCACATTTTCTTTTGAATTTACCACTATTTGAGATGGTAATTTTCCTGAATTCTGTAACTCCAGCCGACTGACCGCTTTAACCATTTGACTCATTTGATTCTCCAAATATTGAATGTTAGCCATGATGTTTTGTTGAAATTGCAAAGTGTTAGTGGCAAGGAATTTAACAATATCTTCTAAATATATACCAGAGTTAGAAGTTTGGCCATATTGTTGTCTAGGACGGTATGACTGATTATATTGCTGGAAATTCTGCCAATTTTGATTCATAGGTTGATTCACTTGTCGATTTCCATAGCTAAGATTTGGATGATCCATCTATCCTTGGGTATACGTGTTTGAATATGGATCATAATTCCTCTGTGGTTGTCCAAGAAAGCTACATGTTGCATTTACATGTTCAACAGATTCTTCTTGACTTGAAGTGTTGGGTACATATCAGTTGGATGACCTACAAATGAATAAATTCCACATGCCTTCACTGTTTGCATAGTACCTGCAGCCATTTGACGAACAAAAGTGGTTAGACTCGTCAGTTGTTGTTCAATAGATGAAACATTTACCTCGTTAACATGTTTAGAAAAGGGGTATCGAGTCTTGTGCCAAATTGCTGAGAGTTAGATACCGTATTTAAAATCAAGTCTTTGCAGCCTCGACAGTTTTATCTACCAACGCTCATCCACTTGCAGCATCAATCATACTCATATATGCGGGTAGAAGGCCTTCATAAAAGTATTGAATAAGGAGCTGCTCACTGATTTGGTGATGGGGGCAACTTGCGCACAATTTCTTGAACCGCTCCCAGTATTCATGTAATGACTCTCTGCTGTTTGGGAAG